TCCTCCTCCCCCCCCCCTGCCCTCTGCCCTCTGCTCTCCTCCCCCATCGCCTCATGAACTCCCCTTCGCAGCTCTGTTGCCCTGACAAATTTCGCCCAAGAACACCCATGGGGTCAGGAAAAGCCCCCTTCCGAGCTTCTAACTTTTAATTCCCTGACCTAGAAACAGGGAATTAAAAGGGCCTGAGTCTCTGCCCCTGGGCGTTCCCGGGGTCCCGTGACAGGTGAATGGCGCGTCTTCTCCACCTGTGTCTGTGCAGGGAAGCCCCAGGGACCTCCTGGCATGGCCGGGGCCCTCACTGCCCAGCTCTGCGGGCTGTTTCCAGTCACATAAGTCAGGATAAAGATTTAGAATGATAGAAACTGCCCCTGCCCGTGAGGTTGGGGCATTGCCTCTTTTGCGATCCTGTTCAGCGTCTGATGGAGCTTCCTTGACTCCTGTCCTCTCTCCGCAGCCCCAAGCAGCAGGCCAAGATGGCCGAGTACTGCCGGCTGATCTTCGGGGACGCGCTGCTCATGGAGCCCCTGGAAAAGTACCCAGTAAGCAGTCTTGCGGTTTGGCCCCGAGGAGCGCGTGGGTTATTTACGAATGGGGTCGGAGGGAGACTTGCCGCTTCCTTTCTGTGTTTGTGTTTCTTGGGAAGATCAATTCGTGCGACAGTAAACGCTCCGGCCGGGAGGGCGGCAGCACTGGGGGCGGCCGGGGGCGGGGACGATAGATACGGATGGCCAAGGGCAGCAGCACGGGGTACGCGGCCAAGTGACAGTAAACGCTCGGGGCAGCACTGGGGGCAGCCGGGGGCGGGGACGATACCGATGGCCAAGGGCGGCAGCACTGAGGGTGGCCGGGGGCAGGGACTAGACAGGCGGCTGCTCTTGTCCCGGCCCTTCCCGTGGCCTCTCCCCACCCTCACTGCCTGGGAAGGTTCCCTCCAGCTGCAGTCAGCCCGCAGGGACAGCCCGAGGGGACGGGGCTGCCTGACCCTCCCAGGCGAGCTCATCACATCCCCTGGGGACCAGTGGGTCAGCACCACAGGACCTGACAAGTGCCCGTGTCTCGTGGGCCTGTCCCACTGGCTGCTGCCCACTTCCTCACATGCACCTTCTGTTAGGGCCCGACTCAGGCTTCCTTTCTCCGTGGTAACAGCCCAGCTTTGGAAAGAACAGCAGCAGAATCCCAGAGCTGGTCTTGCCTCTGGAGCCCTTTGGCCCCGTCTCCTCAGACCCTTCAGTGAGTTCATACCCAGACTCACTGCAGGCAGAGTCTAGAGGGCGAATGAGCTCAATAGACTTGCTAAAAATAACGCACGTGTGGCTTGCATACAGGCCCGCGGATACAATATCTAATAGCCTCTCAGGGGAAATTGATTTCCCCATTAGATTCGCAAGCTTGAAGATGAGGCTTGCAAATATGGTAGCTTCAGTCTCAGGACTGGAGGGAAATCTCAAGTTACCAGGCTCACCTCTTCTGATGCCACAGCTCAGCCACCTCAAACAAACCAGGACGGGGATTTGCTGTTTTTAAGCTCCATCTGAAAAGTGGATTCCACAGGCTCATCTGGAAACTTTCCCCCATCCTCACCAGCTCCTCCTGGCAGGTGCCTGGCGGCCCATCTCTGAAAACTTAGGCCGAAGCCTTCTTATCTGTCTTAGATCAAAGTGGTGGAATTTATATGGTCTGTTGGAAAACTCACAGAAGTTCAGGTTTAGTACATCACATCTACCAGTGCTCTGGTCTTCTTCACGTAGATTTTGTTTGTGGAAAAATAAGAGTATGTAATAAAAATGTATCATTGATGTTAAAAAGAAAAGACCCAGGTAGAGCACTCTAATGAGGGACATGGGTGGACATGGCACAGGGATACTCTTGGCGTCCAAAGCTGTACTGGGGGAGGGAGTCTGCAAGGAAGGAGGGCAGGAGGAGTAATTTTACAGATTTGCTTTCCTTTTCTGTTAGCTGGAATCCGGAGTTCCTCTTCCAAGCCCTATGGATTTAATGTATAAAATTTTGGTGAAAAATAAGAAGAAATCACATAAGTCTTCAGAAGGGAGTGGCAAAAAGAAGCTCTCGGAACAAGCTTCCAACACGTACAGTGATTCCTCCAGCGTGTTCGAGCCTTCGTCCCCAGGAGCTGGTGAGGGGCTGGTGGGCTCTCCTACTCTGGGGGGTGTGGGTGTGAGGACTGGGTCTCGGAGATTAGCTTCGACAGACTCCTCACATTCCTACTTCTGCACAGTTTTCTACTATATTGCTGGTTTTCTGTTGCTGCTACAAACTGGGTGGCTTCAAACTTCACAAATTTATCATCCTCTGGGTCTGTAGGTCAGCGGGTCCCAGGGTCTCAGGGGGCTGCCCTGCAGGTGTGGGAGGCCGCCTTGCTTTCCGGAGGTTCCAAGGGAGAAGCCATTTCCTTCCTTTTTCCAGCTATTTAAGGCCACCCACATGCATTAGCTCAGGGACCCTTCCTCCAGCTTCAAAGCCGGCAATGTTCCATTTCACTAACCTTCTTCTGCACTCGCAGCTCCCTCTGACCACGGCTGGGAAATGTCCTCTGCGTTTGAGGAGTCACGTCATTACATTGGACCTACCCAGATAATCTAGGGTTCTCTCTCCCATGGCAGGGTCCTTAATCTCATCCACATGTCCCTTTGGTTACGCAAGGTAACATATTCACTGGGCATTGACCCCTTGGCCATTATCCTGGCTCCCACACAGACCAAGTAATCTTTGGAGTGACCACATGATTTTAAGGCTTATAAGAGTGAACATGACCCACAGGACCGGGCACTGACCGTGTTCGCTTTAGCATGCTGAAGAGTTCTGGGTGTTTTGATTTGTCTACATTTTGCAGGGCTTTCAAAAATTGTGACATGGCAAAATCACTCAAATTTTCTGTCTAAGCTACTAGGAAATGCTTAATATCATTCTTTCTCCTTTTAAATTGAGGTTGAAATAGATTTTTGTGGTGGGTGAGAAAAGAATTCAATGTGGGCACTCTTGCTTTTTTATTAGTCATGCAATCTAATTCATTTTCCAAGTTCAGTCTGAGTCTTGGCAATCTGAAAACCACATTTCAAAGATTTCCTGATTGGAGAGGGTGATTATACATGGGTCACTATGAAAGTTTTGAGACAGACTGTGCCATGGGCCGTTATTTCACTTCCAAGAAACACGGTGTGATTTGCCCGAGTAAGTTTCAATGTGCTCTGCCTCTCTGGGTTGCCGGGAAGGCCTCATTTGTCTCCATCCCATGCATTTTATGTCTCTTGATTTGGGGGGATGTCTCAAAACTTTCATAATGGGAGCTTCACTCTAGGAATTTTTTTCAATTAAAAATTTAACCAACATAGGAACAATCACTCCAGAAAACTCTTTAGCAGTGTCTAAAAAAAGCTGAACATAGGTACCCCTGGAGCCCAGGAACTCCATTTCTAGGTATATACGCAGTAGAAGTGCATGCTTAGGTCGACCAAGACACCTGTGCAAGAATTGCTTAAAGCAGCTTTATTCAGAGTAGCCAAACACTGGAAGCCTAACCAATGCCCACCGGCAGATAAATAAACCGTGGCATATTCACTCAAGGGAATAATATGCAACAATGAGGATGATCTACAGCCACACATAAAATATGCATAAATCATTATTTATAAACATTATGTTAATAAGCAGAGGAAGTCAAATGCAAAGAAGTATATTTACTGTAAGAGCCCATCTACGTAAAGCACAAAAATAGGCAAAACTAACCAGTGCTGTTGTAAGTCAAGATAATGGTGACCCTGGGAGAAGAAGAAGCCAGACGTGAACCCAAGAGGGCTTCTTGGGTTTAAGGAGAAATCTTTTTCTCTCTTTGGGCAACATCCCCAAATTGTGATGATATGAACAATTTGTTTCTTAATCTGGATCTGGTTATGCAGACACATTCATTTGGCAAAAATTCATCTATTAAAGATTTTTAAGTAATTAAAAATTTAAAATATAAACTTTAGGTCATTTTTCTTACAAAAGGGTTGTCTTAGATGCCAATTTATCTTCTCTTCTGTTTTTCTATCTCAGTTGCCAATTCTTTCACTGTTTAGACTAAAATCCTTTCCACAGACATTATATAATTCTGTGGAAGGGTTTTGTTTTGTAGCTCGTGGATGTGTACTTTAAACATTATTATGCAATTCTTTCAAAATTGTTTCAGAAGTAACTTGTGTTCTCAGTACGAACGTGCTTTTTGGAGTTTTGAAGTGAACACCATTAGCAGGCCTCCCAGTAACACTATTTCCTAACACAGCCCTGTTCTTGGGAAGCTAGCACAGAAATCTTGTCTTGTGGGTGCTCGGTGGGGGGGGTTTCTTTGATTCTGTTTTTTGTTTTTTACCATCTGCCTTTCCCACTCCCAGTTCTCCCCCTCTTCTTAACTGGATGCATAACGCAAATGACGATTTTTACAGGCAGTGAACATGATTGCTTCATACAGAGAGAGAGAGTAGCAATCTGTTAGTTACTCAGTAGATTTCCTAAGCTGTAGTCTATTATGCAATCGTTGTTTATTTTGATGGAAATTTTTGGACATTTTAATATGTAGGTAGTCCCCTGAACAAAGAGCATTGCTAATTTGCCATTTGGTCTGTAGATGTTCACAGTCCTAGGAACTCAGACAACCTGAAAAATGTGAAATGGATCTTGTTTCAAAGCTAATTTACTTGCCATGCTGGCTAGATGCCTTTTCCAGGGTTCAGCCCTTTGCCCTAAAGAACTGGGAGAAAGTAAGATTTTTTTTCTTTTAGTAGTTCAATAAGATTCCCCCCCTCCAAGGACTTAGAGAAAAATCAGTTCTCTGCTTTTGTTGTAAAGCCACAAAAGCCAAAACTGACGTGACTGGATATTTGCAATGACCGGTATGTCACGGTGTTCCATGATGTGGATTTCAGAAGGCTGTGCTTAACACCTTTTTTAATTACATGATTAAAAAAATTCTTCTTTCAGATTTAAAAAAAAATGTAGTAATAACTTGGGGCCAAAATTTGATTGTAACAAATATTTAGGTGGCAACATCCCCAAATAATGAGTCTGTAATATAGTAATAAAATATGTTTCTACCCAAAGTATAATTGACTTACCTTATTAACACAATGTTGGCATCTTAAAGTGCTGGTCTGTCTATGGCTTTGTTAAATAAATAGGCCATAAATAATAACCCTCAGCAGTCTCAGAAATCTTTTCTCTCTGAAGATATTTCTCACTGCTGTCATTCAGTAATTGATTCAACTTTGTTAGCCAAATGGAAACATTTACAAGCTTCTTGGAGGACAGTACTCTGCACGCTGTGTCATTTATATATTAATAGATCCGGTAGGACAGCTAACTTTCAGAGGGCCAGGGTGGGGGTGGGGAGATTGCCAATGCAAGTTGCTTTATTGTTGGGCCAATATCGCCATCTACTGGAATAATGGTGGTATTGCCGAATGTGAAAAACAATTTTGCATTACTTTACTTTTTTTGTTTGGTTTATTTATTTTTTTATTTTTTAATGAATCATGGCCGGGTACATTAATACTCTCATGGGGTATTAGTACCCCAACAGTACAGTGTGCTGTTTCTATATACAATCTGAAATACTTTCATCCCATTGGTCAGCATAGCCTTCATGTCATTCTCTTAGCCGTTGTGTTAAGATATTTATATTCTACTTTTAGAAGGATTCACATGTACCCTTATAGGATAAATCATAGGCATGATCCCACCAGTCACCCTCCTTCCACCCATCCTGCCCCCTCCCCTCCCTCTCCCCTTTCCCCATATTCTTGGGCTAAAATTGGGTTATAGTTTTCCTACAGCAGCTATAAATTAGTTTCATAATAGGGTTGTGTACACTGGATACTTTTTCTTCCATTCTTGAGATACTTTGCTAAGAATATTTTCCAGCTCCATCCATGTAAACATGAAGGAGGTAAAGTCTCCATCTTTCTTTATGGCTGAGTAAATTGTGGTATATGTACACCATGGAGCACTACTTTACTTTTAACTTGAAAATCTTTTTACATAACTGATAGTACCGGGTCGAACTCAAGCCCAGAACTATGGAAGAATGTAATTCCTCATACTAGTGTGAATATTTAACTTAACAGAAATGTCCACTAAATCTTGAAATGATTGCATATTGGCTAAAGACGAAGCTGAATTATTTCTGATGGAGTTAGGTTTTTGTAATTTTTTAAAAGTTCATCCGTTTTATCACACCCTTTAGAACAGAATTTCACTGTTTTCTAAGATATATGCATTGTGTTGAAAATAACACACCCATCAAATAAACTTGCAGACAAAACGTAGGATATGGTTGAAACTTTACCACATTTGTAAGTCACTGGTGTTACCAGAGCCCCACCAGTACTACCCAAGTTCCTGCCTTCTCCTTCAACTTCTGTGAGATCCTCGTGGCCTTGGGAACGATGGACACAGGTTACTGAGCTACGTATGTGCTGGCCACGCATAGCACTGAGGAGTCAGTGCTTAGGAAAGGAAGAAAAATCCACAGATGGCTAGTTTATCTGTTCCAGGGTCATAGAGATCCCAAGAGAGAAAGTATACGTCAAAAATCAAAATAAGGTACATGTCCCTGGGAAAGAGAATCCTGTTTGATACCATGTCTTAAAAAACATGTGGAGAAAAAATGTAAAGACAAGTATTCTGAACAGGATTTGGAAATTTTAATGGTATTTATTAACCATTCTAATTTAGAACATATATATTTTCAAAATGTCTGTATAATTGTCTATAACTGATCCTAGCACATTGCAGGCATAGCCGTAGTCCCAGCTACTCAGGAGACAGAAGCAGGAAGATAGCTTAGTCTAAGAGTTCAAGACTAAGCTTGGGTAAGATCCTGTTTTCAAAATAAAATAAAAAGGATCCAATTAAATTATTCCAAGGCTCACATGAAGCAATGACTTAGAATATATTTGAGAAGTTTTTTTCTATAACTAATAAAATTTAAATCCCTGATAAAACAATTTTAAAGTAGCCCAATTTCCAAGGAACGGTCTAATCACGTTCTGATAACATGTGTATTACAAGTGCTTTAAACTCGTACATGTTGACACCATGATCTGTTGTTACTTTGGCAGGGGAAGCTGATACAGAGAGTGATGACGACGATGATGATGATGACTGTAAAAAGTCTTCAATGGATGAGGTGGGTACCCAGGGCTTCTCTCAGGGGTATTATAGTCTTTGCCAGGCTTGGTAGATGCTCCTGGATTTATCCCATGGTCATCTTCTGCCATCTAGTGGCCAAAAGAATAAATGTGTGGCCTCCAACTTCAAATTTCAAGACAGTTAAATGGATTGTCAATAGTCTGGAGAAGATACGGGATTTGGAGAAATATTCAGAACTATAACATTCATTGCATTATTGTAATTTTGGAACCACTAGAGCTAGATATTCATAAAAGCTCAATTGTTCTGATTAACTTGATCAGCTCCAAAATATTAATAGCACAGAACCTAGAAACAATAGTCGGGACAGGACGATTGGAATTTTAGAATTTTGTCCTAGCAAGAGTCCTCATCAAAAATTTTATGCTGAGTCTGTTTTCAGATGTGTTGAAGATTCTGTTTCAGTACTTGCTGCTTTATAGTTTAGTTTAAAATAAAGCAAATAATAACTTACTCTTACTTGATGTTCTTCCTCTTATAATTTTTTTTCTTAATGTCTAGAATTTTGCTTCTTTATTTTGCCCCTAAATTTCTGGAGGAAAGCTGCTTACAATGCCGGGCAAATTATGTGTGCCTAAAATTATTGCAACTGAGTTTAATTTTCAGTTAGTGAGTCTTTATCATTCTAAACTTCCTTACCAATTGGTAGTCCATTGGCAAATGAATACTTCCCAGTTGAAGTATAACCACGGTATTGCTACTAGAGCTTTCAAAAGAAACCTTGTCTCCATGCACTCTCTTGTCTAAAAATGTGAGATCAGATTTAGATCACTGTTAGATCAGACTACAGACCCCTCTCTAGCACCAGTGATGCAGTATTGTTTTTCTTCTTTATTAAGAAAGAAAAAGTAAAAAGATAATGTGTAATAGTTAATAATCACTAAAGTACCATGAGATTTTACTGTTCTAAGCTCTTTCACATAAACTGGCAATACTATAGGGACTGTTTTTATCCTCATTTTGGAGACAGGCTCAGAGCACTTAAGTAACTTGCCCAAGGTCTCACCGCTTCTCACTAATGGCCTTGGGATTTTAAATCAGGCAATCTGGCTCTGGATCCTGAGCCATTAACCTTTACATGGGACTGTTCTGCTTGTCTAACAGATTTGCAGGGAACCATCAAGGGAGGGAGGAAAGAAAAATTGTGAAGAAAAGCAAGTACTTTGTTTAGCCACCCAGCCCACTTCTGCAGGCAACTTTATTAGTATTATTACTACTACTGCTACTAAAAATTTTTAGTTCACCCAGTGGTCGCCTACATAATTTTTTTTATTATACAGTGTGTTATTGATTTATTGACCTTTTACAGGTCTGTGGACTCTCTGCTATGGAAGATGAGCTATACCTCATCCTTCTCCAATTGTGGGGTGCATTCCAATCACATTATGGAAATGCAGATTTTGGCTCTGTGGCTCCCACCTGCAATCCTAGCACTCTGGAAAGCCAAGGAGGATACCTTGAGCTCAGGAGCCCAAGACCAGCCTGAGCAAGAATGAGACCTTTGATCTCTACTAAAAATAGAAAAACTAGCACCTGTAGCCCCAGCTACTTGGAAGGCTGAGGCAGGGAAATCGCTTGAGCCCAGGAGTTTGAGGTTGTTGTAGGCTGATCGCATGGCATGCTAGCCTGGGGGATAGTACCGAGCACAGAGTGAGACTCTATCTCAAAAATAATACTAATAATTTATTTAAAATAAAATAAAAAGCAGATTCTGGCTCAGAAGCCTGCAGGGGGGCTAAGATCCTACATTTCTAAGCGGGTGGTACTGATGCCCTCGGGCCCACACTGCCAACCACCACTCAACCTCCCTCCTCCCAGCCCTCCCGTTTCCCTTTACTTGCTCTTAGAAGGGGTGCTCTACTGGTAATAATCATTTTCAGAAGCGGAGGGGTGAGTCAGGTGGTCATTTTCCTGGGAAAATAACCCTTGATACTACAATGTTCACCCTGGAAATGTTTTTTTTGTCATTTATTTCTGCTTCCAGGGGACCGCTGGGAGTGAGGCCATGGCCACAGAGGAGATGTCCAACCTGGTGAACTATATTCAGCCAGTCAAGTTTGAGTCATTTGAAATTTCAAAAAGTAAGTTTTCCCTGAAGAAAACCCCTAGTACAGCATATAATGAATATATTTTAAATACAGGGTTATTCCACCTCAATATGTTACTCTTCATAGAGCTGTTAAAAATATGTTAAAAATAATCATATGAGAACCTATTTTAGGACATTATCCCCAAATACTTAACAGGTCCCCAGGCCAACATGGCTATCTGGAAGACACATGCCCGGGGGACGGCTAACTGAGAATGTTACATTTGGTTTTTGTTTCTAGTAATACAGTGGAATCCACCATTATGTATGTGATAGTGTTGAAATAAACTCCCATTCCCCAAAGGGAAGGGGCAGAAACCTGGCCAATCTTGATCAACCCACTCTCATTCCATTTGCCAGCACATTTTACATATTTAGGAAAATGTATCAACTTCCCCACCACAGTTTGTGTCTTCCCATCATCCCCTACACATCTGCAGTGGGTGCAAAGAAAAATATTATCTTTACCTAGAGAACAGAGCACGTCACGAAGGGGCCCTTGGTATGTCCATGGAGTGTGAGATGCTACCAGATTAAGGGGATCCTCGAAACTTATCAGCTGCTCAGAACGATGTGCTCTTAAAAAATTGAAATTTTTATATGCAGCAGCCTGTTAAAAAAGGATACATAAATGAAAACTCGGGCCTCAGCGTGACATTCATTTCATTATATTTGTATAATTTTTCCCCAAAGAGTCTTAACTTAGTGAGCTCTACATCAAAGAATTCAACTTCCAAATATTATATATACGCCGAGATGAGAGTCCAACGTTTTCTCTGATGTCATAATTACTGATGCTTCTGACCACAGCTTGTTCAATTTGAAGCGTCCTAAACTAGTTATTTTTATATTACTGTAACTTTCATTGGCTGCAAAGTAACTTTTCCGAACTCATTAGCTAAAAGCTCCCAGACGAGTAGCCAAGTGTGAGAAAAAGCTGATGATTTCAGTTCTGCAGAACTTGCTAAAGACGGCACCAGCCAGACTTCCAAACCAGCGCTTCTCTCCCTAGGTTTATATCATGTTAATACTTTTTTATAAAAATAATACTGAACATGTTTTGCCAAGTACCCATTAATGCTGACTTCATAAACCATGTGAAAGTAGATTTAGGACAAACCCAAAGAAGGCAAGTCAGGGTCCCTGTCACCTCTGCTCCTTCACGAGAGGGACCCACTCCCAGCTCTCTCCGAAAGGGCCCTAAGCTTTCTCTTGGTTCTTCCTAAATAACAAAGTTACAGTTTGTTTTTGTTGTTTTTTGTTGCTGTTGTTGTTGTTACACTGAAAAAAAAAAAAAAAGAAAGGAAAGAAAAAAGAGAGGAAAAGAAAGGAAAAGAAAAATAAATTTATTTGAGTAAATTGGAGAGAATGAGAAGATAGAGACAGAAGCATTCTGGGAATGATTAGGAAAAAGAATGTGGGTTTAATTTTGGAAGGGGGGGGTCTAAGATGGGAACAGTGTCTGAAAGGTAACCCAGTTTTTAAATCGAGCTGCTTAATCCCGCTGCATGGCTCCCGTCTGAATATCCAAACGGTTGGTGTTTAGTTGGGTCGATGGTAGAGACAGTTTTACCCTTAGTCTTTTTAAACTGTGGTAACTTTGTTGTTTTCCTCACTCCAACTGGAGGCATGAATTCAGTTTCAGAATGTTTCTGTTGTGTTCAAGAGTAGTGAGAACTTCACCTCACTCACCTCTATTTTATGTCTTATCTAATACGAAAACATGTGGAAAATTTTCAAGGATCCTTCTGTTTTGAAATCCCATACTTCTCGTGTCACATTAGTTGTTTGTATCAGAGGGGCCACAGGAACTGAGAAGGTGGCAATCAGCTGTGTGTATAGCAAATGTCCCCATAGCCTCTTCAGTTAATCCCTGACAATAGCCCCAAGAAACCCATCTGAGTGGATTGAGAACCCAAGATTTCCACAAAAACAGTTTTCATTTCCACACTATACGGGTCGAAAATACATGTGTACCCTTGAGTTGCACAACTGTAAGTAGATCTGACCCAAGTACTAACTTTTTTTTTTTTTTTTTTTTGAGACAGAGCCTCAAGCTATCCCCCTGGGTAGAGTGCTGTGGCATTGCAGCTCACAGCAACCTCCTGCCTCCACCTCCCAAGTAGCTGGGACCACAGGCGCCCGCCACAACGCCTGGATATTTTTTGGTTGCAGCCATCATTGTTGCTTGGCGAGCCCGGGCTGGATTTGAACCCGCCACCTTAGGTGTATGTGGCTGGCACCCTAGCCACTTGAGCCACAGGTGCCGAGCCAGTACTAACTTTTAAAATCAGTAACTAACAAGACTCAATTTTGTTACTGGTAAACAATTCACGGGAAAAAAAAATTGAATATGAAAATTGCATTGAAGGTTAATTGTCCTCAACGTTACTGAACATTTGCCTGCTTCTTTTGTGGTTTTATAATTTATAGCATTGAATTTTATTTTTCACTTTTCTATTTCATTGTTGTTGTTTAACTCAGAAAGAAATAAAAGTTTTGAAATGTCTTCCTTCGTGGAAACCAAAGGCCTTGAGCAGCTGACGAAGTCTCCCGTGGAATTTGTAGAGTATCCTTGATTTGACGGCTGATGCAGAGAGAACAGAGCTGAAGTCCTGTGCTGTTTGTTTGGTTGGTTTTTAGTAAGGAGGGAGATGCATAAAATGACCTGAGTCTATAACCGGGAGTAATAAATAGTTTCAGTTCTCCCATAGAGTGTGGAACAGAATAAGCTTGCTTCTGGAAGAGGAACTGGCCTTGGAATAAGCAAAGCCCAGATTTCCAGATTTCGAGGTCACCTTCACACCATCAAGCTGTGTCCTTTGGCAATTTACTTAATCCTGACTTTCCTCATTTGTGAAACAGAAATAATGATACCAGCTTCCTGGTTTGCTGTTTGGATTAAGTGCACTGTGTGTAACATGACTACATACGTGATACATAGGTAAGATATAATATAAGTCAAGCGTGTGCGTATATATGTCTATGTATACACACGGCCTGGCACCTGACGTGCTGACATGGAATATTTAAACGTCCAGTTGAAAAATACTTGGAGCCTGGCATGGTTGCACACACCTGTAATCCTAGCACTCTGGGAGGCTGAGAGCAGTAGATTACCTGAGCTCAGAAGAGCCAGAGTGAGACCTGGTGTCTGCTAAAAATAGAAAAATGAGCCAGGCATTGTGCCAGCTGCCTGTAGTCCCAGCTACTCAGGAGGCTGAGGCAAGAGGAAACCTTGAACCCAACAGTTTGAGGTTGCTGTGAGCTGTGATGTTGCCATGGCACTCTACCGAGGGCAAGGGGGTGAGACTCTGTCTCAAAAAGAAAAAAGAAGTGCTTGGGATAAAGATACATAAGTATATATCACTAATAAAGGCTTTGTTGTCACTACTGGCAACAAAACCGCCTCTGTGAATGAATATAAAATGAAACAGGCCTTTAATTGTTTCATAAAATTAGTATTAAATATGCCAAAGTACTCAATTTCATGAAGTTCTAGAATAAACCTCAGCTTTAAAATTCACCAGCGTATTAAGCAAACGTATTAATGTATTTAATAGATGAGGAAATGGTGAACAGAAAGATGGAATAACTTGCCTGAGACCAGACACCAAGCAATTCCACAGTAAGGATTCAACCCCATCTACCCAGCTCAGAAGCTTAGCTCACTTCTGCCTAACTTGGTAACAGGAACTAAACTATTCTGTTTTAAAGACAGAGGGCTGTCCAATCAGGTTCTTAGATGGAAAACAGATGATAGTAAAGATCAAAAAATACAAAACAAGATCAGAAACTTCTGGGCAATACTGACCCCGTTATTGATCAAAAAGGGAACCGTGGTCTTGGCAAACAGCGTTCCCAGAGGAGGTTAACAAAGGAGCAGAGAGTTTCAAAAACAGCCCCGAGGGTCACAGGATCCCTGTCTGCTAAACAATGGATCCACATAATTCAACACCCTCCAACCTCCTAGTGTGCCCTGGGTCATTAGCTCGGGCTTAATACTCTCTGCAAAATCACACTGAATTTGACTCATCCATTTTTGCCCCCTCACTGGTTTTCACCCACACAGCTCTACAAAGGTGGGGCTTTGTTTATATGCTAAGAGCACGTTTATTCATATTTCACCCACTAGCCCCAGGAGATCATCAACACTTACTTCAAATCCTCAACACTGAAAGGCAGAAGGTGGCCTTCCAATTAAAGCTACCCACTAACAATTTTTAAAATTGCATTCACTACTTAACATGATGGTCCAGATATAACAAGATGCAGCTTAGCAGGATATATCCAAAAGGAACACGTGTGGATTCATCCAACTACATGCCTCAGCTCTTCTGGAACGCCGGTTGTCAGATGGTGGCACTTAATTTCCAGACAATGGGTGAGTAACACGGCCCATGATCATTCCCATTCTGATAGACAGTCGTATTTCCAAGGGTCCAAAAACTGTGCCATGGGAGGAGAAACATTGTCAGAGTGGATTGAAAAAAACAAATAAAAGAAAATTTCAATAAAGGAAATATCAAAGAGAAAAAAGTGAATTGTGAAAATTCAGGCATTTTCTTTAATAATTCATAAGCAAGTCTTTATTTCTGCTGGTTTTGTATGGTTCTTCAAACAAAACTTTTCTATGCTTTTAAAAGTAGTAAGTGTTTATTTCAAAAAAATGGGAAACTTTAAAAGTATAAAGGAAAAGTAAGACTGCCAGGAATGGACCATTGGGAGAGTGTACTCTGCCCTTTTGCCCATATAGACATACTTTTTCATGTAACCCTGTTGGGTCCGAGAAAGCCTCCCAAACAGCCCAACCGACAAACTCGAGACACGCTCCGATGTAAAAAGCATGAGATGAGTTTATTTCAGGCCCGGGAGGCCCGGGAGGCCCGGGCCTGGACTCTCCTGGCATGCAAGCCGAGGACGAGCCCTGAACTCGGGGTGAAGGCAGTTTTTATGGGGTACAGAAAGCAAGAGGGGTAGGGTCGGATATGAGTACACTTTTCTCTGGAGGTTGGTGATTTCATTAGTAAAGGAGGAAGTAAAGGAGGATTTGCCTTGGTAGCTGATGATTTCACTAGTAAAGGTGAATTTGGATTGGTACAGGTGAGGGGTGGAGGGTCCCTTAACCGGGGGCTAGAGTTGGTGCAACCTGGTTACCTGTATTTCAAGGTAATAGAAACTTACTGTTTATTATAGCAGCTGTTTGCCTAAGGTGACTCAGTTTACAGCGCAGTGGCTGTGCAACCTGGGGTGGGGGAAGGCAGCGGGGAGTGGCCCTGCAGGTTTCACTGGCAGAGGTTGGGGCAGAAGGGCTATGCGGTAAACAGCTAGGAATGGGGCTTGTGCTGTAAACAACAAAATGGAGCTAGTTTGGCTCTCACACCCCTTGTTTAAAACAAATACATATATTTACATACAAATTTAAGTATATACATAAGTGCTAGTCGTGAATAGCTATATATTCAGCATACTTTAAACTTCAGTGAAAAACCCACCTATCACTAAACAGGAAGGAATATCTTTTCTACTATAACTGTACACTGAAAACAGTCTTGGACCTAAGTTACTGAGTCTGTCTTCTAAAGTTCTTTGGGGAAAGTGCTTAAAAACGGGATTACTATGTTAAAAGATGTGAGAGTTTGAAGCACCTTTGGGACTGTTGCCAAACTGTCCTTTAAAAATGTCTCGATGTCCTCCGTCACCCACGTATGATGTGAGGCAGCCTCTCTCATTCGAGATCTCGGTTAAGTATGATCATTAAATGCTAATTAAATTTCAGACAAAATGTGTTCTCTCAGAGTTGTTTTAATTCATTCCCTTAATTATGATTGAGGTTGAACATTTGAAAATATGTTTCTTGGCTTTTATATTTTTCTTTTTATGAATCAGGACTATTGTCAACTTTCCTGTTCATTTATAATAAATAGCACTTTTATATAAAGGGGAGAGCGTCCTTTGGGAAACAGACGTCCATTCCAGGAGGTCAGCTGGATTAATGTTTTATCTTGTCGCTCTTGGTCTGCTTTTCCGATTACAGCCTCCCCATCCCAGGAGCAGTTCCCTAATCCCCCATTTCTCTCCTGGGTTCATTTTTAATTTTCAATTTAACCCTTTCATTTATCCAAATTTAATTTTGATAGATAGACTCAGTGAGATCAATTTGTGTTTGCCTAAAGAATCACCCCATCGAAGAGGAATTACAGCTTAATAAATGTAATCATTTTGTTGTTAATTGAAATCCATTTTTTCACTTTATATCTTTTCCATAATGAATTCACCCGTTTTCCTGGACGCGATAACTCACCATTTGTATTATTTTTCATAATACAGCTTAATACCTGGAAGTGGCATAATAAATAAATTCTTTCTCATTGCTATTAATGTTTTTTCGTCATTGCTACTAGAATTCCAACTCCAACTGAGTTACTTTAATTGTATTATGTCATTTCCCTCTTGACTGCTACCATTTTTTTAAATAAAATCGTACTAAAGTCATGAATATATCTAAATAAGATCTTCTAATTTTTTCTCTTCACTTTAAAAGACTTCTTTCTCATATTAAGTCTCTCAGCAAAATCATTCATTTTAATTTCATTAGAGGTCTAGGTTTTTTAGAAGACATCTCTCTTTTTTACATTATATTTTAACTGATAATTTCTGGGTATTTATATTTACATATTTATAACCATCTCCCCAAGCTCTTGTGTTAATAAGAGCTTCTTGGCAGTAAATTTTATTGGATTTTTCAGACACATAAAGGCAGTAATTTAATCACATCTAATTTCTCCCTGTCGTATTGATTGATACGTATTGATTGATTGACTGATGATATGAAATAACAGTGGTGTCAGTGAGCATCTTTCTTTATTTTTAATTCAAGACGTTCCACATTATGGCTCTTATGAAGTAGGTATCAAGCTTTAACCAATATATAAGATATTAATAGCAATTATGCAAGATATGGCTTTTCTTTTTTAATTAATTTTATTTTTGAGACATCATGGCAATATGTATTTTCAAGGTCCATGTGATAATTTGAAACATTTATAAAATCAAATCAGAGTAATTAGTTTATCTGTTGCCTGAAATATTTATATTTTCTTTATGCTCAGAACATAGAAACCATTCTCTTATAGTTATTTTGAAGTGCACAGTTAATGTTAACTATAGTCACCCTACTCGTTGTACAACACCAGGTCTTATTTCTTGTAAGTTTAGAGTCAGTATTTTTCTCTGTATCTCGATGTGATTAAGAATTTCGCTGTGGTGAGGCCATCACCAGGTGGGCTATTGGCTGTGATTGTGAAACAGATATTCTTTAAAGTACTAAAGCAGTTGACAAGCGTCCTCGCTGACTAACAGGATCTTAGGAACTTATGTGGAATGTTATTAAATGTCTTTCAGACATTTATTGAGATGATCATATATTCATGTCATCTTTCATGCATAAATATGCTAAATCATATTAACAGATCTACTGATATATAATTATCCTTTTCTTTACAAGATAAACTTCACTTGCTTTCTATGCAACCTTTTTTAGAACATTTGACTTGCTAATATAATTTTTTAGGCTTTGAAGTCAAATTTTTTTCAATTGATTAATTGAAATCAATGGACAATTGATTAATTACTTCCTTTTTGGTACCATAATTAAAATAGTTTAATAAAATGAAAAAGAAAAGTTCACATATTTTCTCTGCTCTAAAAATCATTATTATTTTTTTGTTTGTTTTTTTTTTTTTGGCTGGGGCTAGGTTTGAACTCACCACCTCTGGCATATGGGGCCAGCACCCTACTCCTTTGAGCCACAGGCGCTGCCCCTAAAAACTATTTTTTACGTGGAACTTTAAAATGATTCTATTGTCACTTCTTTATTTTCCGCATAAACAGAGGTGAGATGTGACACATAGTCTGGACCAGCTGACAGCTTCCCACAGTTCTTAAAACTTTAAAATTTATTTTTCAACCCTAGCAATTGCAATTTTGCAATAAGCGTGAACATCTGATTCACTGACTGAGACTTAGAAAAATTTTGACCAGTAACCTTTGTTCCCTGCAAGAATCAATGTATAATTAGATAGGTTATGAGTAATAGAAATGCACATTCTTAAAAAGAAAATGTATAATTAGACAGGGTATAAATAATAGAAATGCACATTCTTAAAAAGAAAATTTCCCCTTTAAATTAAAAAGAAGAGGAAGAACTATGGAACTGACTGTGAGAGAGGTCTGGGGAAACCCATTGTCCAAAACGCAGCTTAGGGGGCAAACACTGGTTTAAACTTCCTGAAGGATATTTTAGTAAAACTTCTCAAAACAGATTTTACGTTATGCACATCTTTTGACCCAGAATTGCTAGTGGATGCTCCTAGGAAAAATTCCTCTCCTAGAAAATTCATTAATAATGTCTAAAGACTTTAATACAGCGACTTTGATTACAGTGTCATAGGTCATGGTAAAAAGTAGAAGAGCATAGACGTGCTTGAAGAGGAGACTGGAGATTTATTCGATGCAACTACTGAAAGTAGTTTTATACCGCTGTTCTAACTAAGGCCCAGAAATACTTAATAAAAGGGACATACTGTATGTCGTCAACACGTTTAAAGTGGAAAAAGCTGACCATACGCTAATCCATTGGCAGTGATGGTCTCTGCCAACAGATTGGAGCTTGGAGGCGTATTGGAGGCTTGGAGGCATATTTGGAGCATATTGGAGCTTGGAGGCATATTTCTTCCTTACCTGAGTTTCCTGTGTTTGCACAGTGAATAGCTCTTTCTTTTGGGAAGGAGAATTCTTGCAAAAGTGGACTGTAACACAGTCTTACTTTGCAATCTACTTTCTTGCTCCTAGAATAAAGGTGCTTATAATGTGGTTTGTGTCTCTGCTATTCAGACCTGGCCATGCAGATCAACATGGGGATGTATGAATACAATGGCAAAAGTGGCTACAGACTAAAGCCAGAGTTCATGAGGAGGCCTGACAAGCATTTCGATCCATTTACTGAAGGCATCGTAGATGGGATAGTGGCCAACACTTTATCTGTTAAGGTATGTACACGATCTACTTTGCATAACAAATGGCTTAGTCATTAATAACTTAGTAGGCAGCAAAGGTCCTACTTTCCTCATATTTTTTTTTCTGTAAGGATCAAATCTTTTTGAAAAGTTTTCACAGACCACATGGATGAGATAACAGCAGCTGGACCACATTCTTAACATGTACAAATCACGCCCCAAAATTGATAAATTGAGTTCATGGGACTCCACATGGCCAGTCAGTAACTCATATCAGAGAGATCTTCTGATCAATTTCCCCCATTAGTTATGAGCAAAATTATAGAAAAAAATTCTCTCAATAAGTTATTAATGTTGAACAAAACTTTCAACTTACCATAGCATGGTTTTTGAAAATCTAGCAGGATGTTCAAGAATTTTAAAACGTGCATTAATGATCTTAAATGAAACAGTTACTTTGTTAAATATATATGTATATATATGACCCTAAGAAATTAAGTCTAAATTATTTTCTTCAGTCTTTGCAATTGATGGTAAAGCAGATGTAATTTTTTTAGCTGTCAGAAAATAATTTTAATACTACAAAGGGGAAATTCATTTTTATAAAGAGTTTTTATGGATTCTATAAGCCAGTGATTGTTAATGCTTTTGTAAAGTATCATTTCTTTTCAATTTAACTGAATAACTATAGGACTAAGCAACTTTTTCACTGAAAATAAGTGCAATTTTCACACTGACCTTAAACACAGATACTTGAAAAACTACGTAAAAAATTGTCTGCAATAGTTTCACAAATTTCTATCTACCCTAAACAGTTAAGCCCATACTTACTTTTAAAACTTATGTGGATTTATAGCAAAAATTTAAAAACAAAATTTCAATAGTCTCATAATCATTCTTTTGAAATCGTTTTAAGCTACATCTATAAAGAGTGAAGTTGGCAGAATTAGACTTTCATGATTATGTTTATTTTAGGAAATTTTTTTCAGAAAAGGATATTTAATTCCTGTCAAGTGTCATAAAGATAAACTCATAATCATCGTGGGCTGATAGGATGCTATTTTCAGATCCTTGCCTGTTGTTATTATAGTTGGCTCAAATTAATAATATTTTTGCCTTGTTTGCAGATTCATCTTCTTTTGAACATACTGCTTGCTTATTTATTTGGTCTTGAAAATTCTGCTATGACAGTGTAAGCATTTATAAAACAGTGATGTGGAGGCAGGAAAGTAAGTTGAGTCGTGAAGGGGAAAGAGCTGAGTTCCAGACAGGTGTCACTTGCTGCTTCCATTCAAATGAGAGAGGCTGTTTCTAGAGCTGTTGGTCTCCCTTAACTGGACGGGCCACACTGAGTAGAGTCCCGCCTTTAACATTACAGCTGCCGCCAAGATCCAGCTCACAGGACCGTCAGTCCCCTTATTCCTTTTTCTCCATCTTCTCCCGTAGACATTATAGTTCCGAAATGGACTTGGGAGCTCACACGAGGTTCTGCCATCCTGTGTTACTGATGAGAAGGTTGCAGTTAGAGTCATTAACTTAGTTTAGGACTCCACTTTGATCACACATCTTAAGCATACAAAATCTTTGGTGAATCTGAATTCCCAATGGGGTTCAAATAACTCAGATATTTCAAACATGTTGTGAACTGCTTGCTACGTGTTTCTCATATAGACCTTTCAGTTGAGCAAAGAGTTTCTTTCTGGCAGGTCCCATTTGCCATGCCAAGTAGAACGTCCAGGAGAAATGAGTTGTCCGGGACAAATTCAGAGAGATTTCCGGATGACTTTCTCTCTGACCTGATCGGGATTTCTTCACTCAGCCTTTGCTGATTTTTTTTGTGGCACTGGGGTGTCTGGTTTCTAGTCTAGCCGTATTCTTGGAAATTCTGTTCCCTTTCTTGGACTTGAGCCCATAACCCCCCTGACCAGCCGGAGCCTGTGTTCTGACCACACAACCCAGATTCCCCAGGGGTGGTGCATTAGCACTCGCTTTCTGGAATTCCCCTCTCTGGTGTAAAGGCGAGCAGGACATCTGTCTGTTTGCCTCCCCTAACTTCGTGACGGCGGATGGAGCCCTCAGATTCTGAAAATTGGGTTAGAGAAAGAGACAGATGTGGAAGACATAAATATGAAATTTTAAAATCTCTTATCTCCACAATATCCATTAGTTCTGTAGCTGCACAGAGGGTCTTCACAGCTGTGTAGAGGGCCAACCATGATGATCAGGTGCGGTTGGTTTAAAGTGGGTAAGTGCTGATCTCTCCTCCTGAACCACTTTATTACGGACTGTTTCTAATCTCAACATTTTTGATATTCTTCTTCCAGCTCGAGTGAAAGAGAAGTCATATTTCTACTCTAGCTTGTTTCATTTTGCTTATAATTCAGCATTCCCCCGCAACATTTGTACCTCTTTATTCTCTTACGTCTGTGTTACTCGTCTATCAAGACATCCCCTATTTATTTATTCTTTTAATTCTCTAGATTATTTCAGGTCAGTTTCTTTCCGATAAGAAAGTGGGGACTTATGTGGAAGTGGATATGTTTGGTTTGCCCGTGGACACGAGGAGGAAGGCTTTTAAGACCAGAACATCCCAAGGAAATGCTGTCAATCCTATCTGGGAAGAAGAACCCATTGTGTTCAAAAAGGTTGGTCCCAAGTTCATGGCCTAAGACGTGACTGCGCTTTGCAGGAGTTTCACACACAGAAAATACTGAAATGAGAAATTACTGGTTGTTTAACTTGGAAATTCACATATTTGTAAAGCAGCAACATTTGGAAAGCCATCCGGAAAACTCTTCAAGATCTCCGTTAAACACTTCTTTGGATTTTCAGAATTGCGTTATAATTCAGTTACTTCTAGTATGCCCCATTTGGAAGACCAGAAAAACTTCTCAATGCAATGCATATTGTCTTATAATACAAGTGATAAATGATACTTTTTCATTGGAACTCAAATGAAGTACAGTGGGAAGGGGGGACTAACATGGTGGCTGAGAGAAGGAAAGTCTGTCTTTCCCGTACAAAGAACATTGATTAAACGCTCCGGACTCGTTAGCGGCTGGCCGCTGGTCATTCTGTCCTCTCTGGTTTCTGTCTGATAAAGTTAAAACCTTTCATGCACCCCTGAACCTTCCTCTCTGTCTTCACCAAAAAGCAAACCTTCAAATGTGTTTATCACCACATAAAGGAAGAACAGAAGCTTAGGGGAAAGTGCAGTCCATGTTCTGACCCGACCCTTTGCTCTTATCTGAGCTAAATTCCTCCAAAGGCAGCCTTCTGCAAAGAGCTGTCTATTTGAAAGCTCTCTGTGCCCCAAGGTTTTTTTCATATGTTAAGTGGATTTAGTAAAAGTGTCTATTTCCTAGGAATATTATGAATATTCCATAAGTAAATACATGACACTGTAAAAATGTCCAGTGCAGTGTTTGCTGCTGTTATAAATGATAAATTTTTAGAGAGAGTGAGTCTCACGTTCTTGACTTAATCTATAATGGCATACTAGAGTCTAGCTGCTTCACATTGAGCAAATAAATGGTAATTATTAATTTGGAATTTGCAGATTTATAAAGCAATCGTATTTTCAAAGCTACCCTCAAAGTTACATTTTTTGGTCTATTTTCACTATGAAGATACAAGTCTTAATATCAAAAAGATATGCAGATTCATATATGACTTGCTTCAGTAATATAAATCTGAGTATTTGCATGGTGAGAAGACCACCAACTCCTGGTGTTCAAACATAGAACTTTTGTCATTTCCTCATTGAAAATGTTCATGTAAAAATAGAATGGCCTACATTTGGAGCAACTGGCTCACTGGGGCAAGGTGATAAAACAGAGATGAAGCTCTGTCTCTGGTAGCTCATGTCTTCTGCTTCTGAGGATTTATACATGTTAATCAACAGCCTGACTTTTTGTCTAAATTAGCTCAGTAGAAACTTCTACTTGCATCTAGAGAAGCAGGGTCTGATTGAGTACAGGCTTTGTAATTCTTTTTTGGAAGTGCTCATTCTTGTAACCAGCTGTGCCCTCACTGTCCCTGTAGGTGGTTCTTCCTTCTCTGGCCTGCCTGAGGGTAGCAGTTTATGAAGAAGGAGGGAAATTCATCGGCCACCGGATCTTGCCAGTGCAAGCCATCCGGCCAGGTATGGACAGCGGGGTGAGAAACGTTTTATCAAAGTTGCAAAGATGATCGTTGCTGCCATATGTGATATTAAAGAATGATTTAGACAGCTAGGTGCAGTGGTATATGCCTCTAGTCCCAGCGACTTGGGAGGCTGAGGCAGGAGGATTGCTTGAGCCCAGGAGTTCAAGGCTGTAGTACAGTGATCCCCAGCCTTTTTTGGCACCAGAGACTGGTTTCAAGGAAGGCAGTTTTTCCAGCTGATGGCTGAAAAGGGCTGGAGGGGAGCTCTGGTGATGACACGAGCCATGGAGAGCAGGTGTGAATACAGAGGACCCTTCTCTCGCTCACCTGCCACTCCCTCCTACTGTGTGGCCCAGTTTAATAGGCCACAGACCTGTACACTAGTAGGAGGCCTGGGGGGAGGACCACAGGTGTAGTTTGCAACGATCACACCTGTGAATAGCGATTGCACTCCAGCCTAGAAAAAGTCGTGAAATTCCATCACGGAAAAAAAAAAAAAGAAAGAAAGAAAAAGAAAAAAAATTAGGCCAAGCACAGTGGCTCACACCTGTAATCCCAGCACTCTGGGAGGCCGAATTGCTTCAGCTCACAAGTTCAAGACCATCCTAAGCAAGAGTTAGACCCCTGTCTCTTAGGAAAAAAAATATCTGGGCATTGTGGTGGGCACCTGTAGTCCTAGCTACTCAGGAGGCTAAATTAGGAAACTATTTGCTGCTTTGTAACTAGAGCTACGTGGTCATTTAAATCTGAAAAGTACATGCTTTTGTGACATGCTGTGGTGTGTTACTCAACTCCTGCCGTAGTAATTATATATAATATACTATCTGAAAAGTCATAGGCTAGTATTTATCTCCATGCTCACAGGTCTGTGGGTGGGCAGGGTTTGGCTGATCTGGCCTGAGCTCAGCTGCACAGCTGTGCTTCAGGCTATGGGTTGGGTTTAGGACTGTCCTACACGTGCTTATTCCAGGGCACAGGCTGACGGGGCAGTGGCACCCACAACATGGACTACTCTTGGCACACCCCTGGAATGCAAAGGACAAGCTCAACTCTGCAATGCATTCTAAGCTTTGGCCTGTGCCGTATCACTAACATCCCATTGGCCAAAGCAAAGCAAGTGCTAAGTCCCGGTCAAGAAATCATGCCAAGTATAATTCTATTATGGCGTGAATTCAGACCAATAATTCAATGTGACATACAATTTTGAATTCTCTTTTAGGGGGGAAATATGGTTGGAAAGGAAAAGAGTCAGACTCTGTGACGTTTTCCTATCTGATGAGAAAAATAATATCTTGTCACTTAGAACCATGTGATGAAAATGGGAAAGGAGAGGCCTGTTTGTCATCCGAAGTCACCTACACTAAATACTTCCACCACATAAATATCCATGATTGTAACTAATGTTGTGAAGAAAGTATGTGACACACAGTACTTGCCATGTCACCCTCTAGGCTACCACTATATCTGTCTGAGGAATGAAAGGAACCAGCCCCTGACACTGCCGGCTGTGTTTGTCTACATAGAAGTGAAAGATTATGTACCTGACACGTACGCAGGTAACAACCCAACTCTAAGGGCTACTTCACCGGGGTCGTCCATAGTTTTCTGGTGTAGTGGAAGGAAAACTGGACCAAATAAAGGCAGGAGATTCTGGCATCAGACTGACCTCTATTTTTGTATCTTATGTTTAGAGATAAATTGTTCAAACCTTTGTGAATAAATTGTAATGTAATTTACTTAACTTATATTCTATTACCTAAGCTTTAAACATATCTACTTACAGGCAGTCTTATTCTCATGAGCCCAGCACTGCCTTCTTCATGCTGCCTGATACTACTGTTGTCTAGATCTGTACAAAAAAATTTGCTTTCAGCCAATTCTAGGGCTAGGATCCTTTTCATGAGTGGAGTCCTAAGTTTAGAAAAATTGACTTTCAACAATGTCAGCCTGGAATAATAAATTAAATGTTTGTAGTACCAAGCGGCCTGGTGTAAGACACTGAGGAGTGGTGGAGACTGTGGCAAACTTGGAGCACATGCCCTGTCGAAAGATGGTGACCATAACGTTCTCCAGGCCAAGAAAATGGGACCCACATTGCCAAACCTTTGGGTTTTTCCAGCAGTCTGGAAAGCAGTTTTTTTATGCAAAATGTTTTCTTTTGTGAAACATCATTTGAGCTAAATAAGACAAGTGTATGGGCCGTTGTTGGAATGAATGGTGCTTCAAAAAGAAACTAAAGAATGTAGAGTGTTGACAAACTAGAGTTGGTGCTTCTCCAGTTTGGCTCTCAGAGCTGAACTCCTCTGATTTCTCTCTTTCTAAGGTTTCAGAAGAGTTCTGACTCTTGTCTGTTTCCAAAATGTTGACTACATGGGTCTATGGAAGCTTGGAAGATGGATGATGAATGGATGGGTGGATGGGTGGGTGGATAACAATGAACGCAGGGATGGAGGGTTGGATGGGTGGATGAACGGAGGAAGGACAGAAGGAGAAGTGATGGACTGTTCATCAATATCTCCATGACCTTGCATGTGAAATGTCCCCTCCCTATTTAGATGTGATCGAAGCTCTGTCAAACCCAATCCGCTATGTGAATCTGATGGAGCAGAGGGCTAAGCAACTGGCTGCTTTGACACTGGAAGATGAAGAAGAAGTGAAGAAAGAGGTGAGAGGGTGTTCTGGTCAGATACGTGGCGTTAGGCATGATTCCTACACCTGCTGGCTGGCTCTGCTGTCTAGCATCAGACTTCAGGAGAAGAAATAGAGCATTGGAACAATGTTGTCACCGAGTTCAGTATCGTGTCGCAAAACACCACATGACCGACTGAGTTCTTCATACGTCATTCCCTTTTATCATTCTGTGGAGACCAACATCTTACACTGTCATCACATTGAACAGTTCATATCTTCCTGTTTCAGGTGAACGTTTCTATATGATTTCATGTCAATGAAAGGCACTTATGAAAGAAGATAATCATTAAATCATTTAGTGTTTCTATTTTTCATCAAGTGGGATAATATTCACAGTCTATGTTTTATCCTTTTGTTTTTACTTAATACAAATATTTTTCATATCATGACACATTATTCTGCTACAAGACTCTTAATGGGCCCATCCCTATCACTGGGGATTTCCAGTCCTTCACTGTTGTAAACAGATCATCCATGAACGTTATGTAAATGCATATTTTAGCATATCTATGATTATTTCCTTGTGCTTTTTATATGGAATTTTAGAAATGTTTGAAAATTTATGAAAAATGAAACAAGGAAAATACTTAAGGACCTTCCTTAAATTTAACCCTCTCTCATCCCTGTGTTGGATCTGATCCGACGTCATGACTTTGCTGTTCTGCTCTGATGGTGGAAGGTGTCTGGCGCTTTTATTTTTTTGGTAGGGCTTGTCCACCGCTCCATTATCGCGCCTGTCTGATGCATCTTCTCATGTAGTATGGCCTCTGGCTAACAGATAGTGCCTGCTGTACTCTTTCTGTCTCCAGGCAGACCGTGTGCTTTGACGTGAACAGGTGATTGTGTGTTGTATTTGCACGGGTGTGCTTGTAGGAAAATGGCCCACACAAAATAAATAAGAGCTTGGGAGTATGCGGGTTGCAGGAAAAAATTGGATTTGAAAGGGTAAGGGATTAGGCTAAGCCATCACTGCTTGCACGGGGTCCACAGAAAGAGGGATATTGATATGCTGGAAGCAGACTCTGTAGGTGTCCTGGCCAGGTTTTCTTTGAGGGGGCTGCTGCAGGGGCTGACTACAGACTGCTCACTGACAGCTGGCCGGGGCTGGTAGGAACCACCTTGCCTGGAGAGGCCTGGCATGTTACTCCTTGGAGGGGGCGAGCCATGCCCAGTGGCTGACAGATCCAGGAAAAATAACATCTCCAGTCCCTCGTTTGTGGTGGGCAACTTCTGTGCTGTAGTTCGTGTTTCAGAGCTGTCCAGGGAATCAGGCTGAGGCTAGAGTTCTCCTGAGACCCCATTTCCACTTATCATTTTTTCCTTTCTTAACCTGCTTCCTCACTTTCCTGCAGTTTCCCCTGAGAACATTTTCTCCATAAATCTTGTGGTCAAGAATCCCCATGCCCGGTTTCAACAATGCTAAATAGCTTAGTGTTTTATAATTAAAGATAAGAATGTGTTTTTTCTGAATGTTTTGCTTGGAAACTAGAGTTTAACAATTTGACGATAGTTACATCTTTAATTTTGGTATATCTTCAGTGATAATGTGCTTTTTTCTTTCTCATGGCCTTTAGAAAAATTAAGACTAGAGAATTCTATGAATTCCTTATTTTGTTCCTATAGATAACAGGATGATGAAATCAGAACCTCTACTAAGAAACCCAGAAAGCTTAGCAATTCCTTTCTCTTTTTCCTGCTTTATTTAATAGCATATTTAATAAAATATAACTAAGGTCAACATAAATTATGTAGATGTTAATAGCATTCTTCTCTACTTAGAAAAGAAAAATCTCTCTTTTTTGTTATTAGTTTTCATTTGAGATTGGGTCTCACTATGTTGCCCAGGCTGGCCTCGAGTGCTGATACTACCTCAGCCTCCCTCATAGCTGGGATTATGGGCAAGCACCTTAACACCTGATTTAGAAAACAAGAATCTCCTTTCAATCCTCTTAATCAACTGAATGCATTTTATTTTCTAAGAAACAGAAGTAGAAGTATTTTTAAGTAAAATTACATGTTTTCTTTTCACTATGCAGAAACAATACTTCTTATATTATCAACTTCTATTTGTTAGCCATTGTCTCTAAAGCAGTGATTTTCTTTTTTTCTTTTCTTTTCTTTTTTTTTTTTTGTAGAGAC